TGAACATGGGACCCGAGATGTGAAACAATAGTGCATACAAAAAGGCTAGACCACCAAACCACAGTTAACTAAACTTCATCTAAGGGCACTATTCTGTGCTCCACATTCATTCCTTATGCCTTTAGTGACTTCAGTGGAGTAGTTCCTGATTTACCCCAAGATAAGAGAGAAGCAAATCGGATCCCAGACTAGCATTTATTCTGTAAATGCTAGAAAAGACTACTACATCAGTAGTTTTGAAGATCTGTGAGCCAACATGTGACAGTGGCTTCAGATGCCAACCTCTTCTGGAGCTTCCCTTCACAAATAGAGAAGCACCAGAGGAACTGTATAGACTGTATAGCATTGCAAAATATTTATCCATAGACATAAATACTTGTGCTGCATTTCTGTTTTATTTGTTCTTTCATTTGCATGGAAAAACAAAGATAAGAAGCAGTAAATGGAACAAGAACACTTGTTTCAATATTTCAGTTTGATTTCATTCATCTTACTAAATATAAACTCTTTAAATCAAAGTTACACAATACTGCAGGATAAAGATAATGAGCCGAGACTGCTGTTGAAACACTTTTGATCTCCTCACCCCACGGAATAATGCCTAAGGGTACAGTGGTTCAACACATTGCAATGGCCTTTGAATTCTAAAGGCTTGCTTTAGTTAAAAGAGCAATGAGATTCAGGGTCTCAGTCTAGTCCTTGGCAGACAATGTTCTAGGTGGTGGAATCTATATTATGGTGCAGCATACCTCTGAATTGGGAAACAAAACACAAAGAAGGTGGGAGGGAGGGTGTATGGAAAGACTAGGTAGGAATGGGTTGCTGTGTGGATCAGATACTGGAACAATGCCCCAACAATAGGCAATAATGCTTCAGGAGGTGGCTCAACACAAAATGCACTGAATGTAAAGATTTTTTCCTGACCCCTGCAAGGGATTAGTTTTCACCCTAAAAATACTAGGTTTAATTATCCTTAGTGTAGTTTTATGATTATGATTATTATTATTATTAGTAGTAGTATTATCATAGCCCCTAGGAGCTGGACTCTGTTGTGCTAGGTACTGTACAAACACAGAACAAAAAGATGGTCCCTGTCTCCAGGATATAATCTATGTATAGGACAAGAGACAACAGGTAAATACAGAGGGATAGACAGGGGAGTACAAGGAAGTAATGAGGCAGGACTGGTCAGCATGAGAAGAAGTGGCATCAGCGCACAAAGGTCCTACGGTTGTCAGTTTTTTTTGTAGCAGAATATAGCCACTCAGATTTTCCATAGCTATTTTGCCCCTCCCCTCTCTATTTCTTTCCAAATTTTATCCGTTTAACTTTCTCCACTACTTTTCCCCCATTTTCTTCTTAATAAAGCAAAACAATAAGAACGTTTTGCTTTACTTCAAAAGATATACTGCCTTTCAGGTTTTTTGAGGGAACTAGGACTTGGGGAAGAAGGTGGAGAAGGTCAGCTCCTTTGTTCACCTGTCCCCCTCATAACTGAAACACCCCACACATGGAATAGCCGCTAGACATACTCTAATTTTGAGAGAATCCCCAGAACTTTGGGTTTGGGAGTGATAATCTCCAGTCTTTATAGTCATAGAATAGATCCATACAGAGAGATAACTCCAGGGAAACTCTCACAGACAGCCTGCTGGCAAAGACATTGCCAGTCTCAGATACTAGACTATCTTCTTATCACCTCTTTTCTCTGTGAAGAAAAGAGAAAGAAGAACTTAGGGCCAGGAGAAACAGGATAGCAGTTGCTTTGGAGGACGCTATGGCAGAGGAAAATTGGTTTTTGGAGGGAAAAGAGATGAATTTTAGTTGCTTTGAATAGAGAATGAGAGGCAAACAGGCTGGTTGCTTGTTGCCAATTGTGCCCACATATCTATTCAGGGGACACCATCACAGGGCCTAATAACATCAGCCACACTATCAGAGGCTCGTTCACCTGCACATCCACCAATGTGATATATGCCATCATGTGCCAGCAATGCCCCTCTGCCATGTACATTGGTCAAACTGGACAGTCTCTACGTAAAAGAATAAATGGACACAAATCAGATGTCAAGAATTATAACATTCATAAACCAGTCGGAGAACACTTCAATCTCTCTGGTCACGCAATCACAGACATGAAGGTCGCTATCTTAAAACAAAAAAACTTCAAATCCAGACTCCAGCGAGAAACTGCTGAATTGGAATTCATTTGCAAATTGGATACTATTAATTTAGGCTTAAATAGAGACTGGGAGTGGCTAAGTCATTATGCAAGGTAGCCTGTTTCCTCTTGTTTTTTCCTACCCCCCCCCCCAGATGTTCTGGTTTAACTTGGATTTAAACTTGGAGAGTGGTCAGTTTAGATGAGCTATTACCAGCAGGAGAGTGAGTTTGTGTGTGTATGGGGGTGAGGGGGTTGTGAGAAAACCTGGATCTATGCAGGAAATAGCCCGACTTGATTATGTAAAGAGTTGTCACTTTGGATGGGCTAGCACCAGCAGGAGAGTGAATTTGTGGGGGGGTGGAGGGTGAGAAAACCTGGATTTGTGCTGGAAATGGCCCACCTGTTGATCACTTTAGATAAGCTATTACCAGCAGGACAGTGGGGTGGGAGGAGGTATTGTTTCATATTCTCTGTGTGTATATAAAGTCTGCTGCAGTTTCCACGGTATGCATCTGATGAAGTGAGCTGTAGCTCACGAAAGCTCATGCTCAAATAAATTGGTTAGTCTCTAAGGTGCCACAAGTACTCCTTTTCTTTTTGCGAGTACAGACTAACACGGCTGTTCCTCTGAAACCTGTCATAGGAATAGGGTGTAGGCTCATTGTCTACTCACCCACCTTGTCTCAGGAGAACGAGGGTATGTCTACACTGCAACTGGGAGCAAGCCTCCCAAGCTGCATAGACAGACTCAGGTTAGCTTGGCTCAAACCAGCACACTAAAAATAGCAGTGTAGATGTTGCAGCTTGAGCAGCAGCTCTGGATCTCAAGCCCACCTGAACCTGTGGGTCTGAGATCAGGTGGCTAGCCTGAGCTGCCACCTGAACTGCAATTCTACACTGCTATTTTTAGTGTATTAGCTTGAGCTGAGCAAGCACAAGTCTGTCTCACTCCCAGCTGCAGTGCCTTAAAAGGGCTCAGTTTCTCTGGCGATGGGACAGACGGAGGTAGCTTGATTTCCTAGGAAGGACAAATATGACAAGTTATTTACCAAACTCTAAAATAGAGAAGTCTAGCCATTCTTACTGCACCAAAAGCAGTTTGGACCCCAACACATTCTGGAGCATGAGTACTGTAAAAAAACAGATCCCACATAAGTAGAAATGAAGAAAACCTGTCTACTAGAATGCTTAAATAGAGACGAAATCTAGCTTTTCCAGCTGCACCAAAACATTTTGGTGCCTGAGCAAACCAAAAACCAAGATCCATCCAGTGTTCATCCCTCATCACTCAAATGACATGACACCAATAGGGAACCAGTGTGACTGCTTTTGCTCACCATAAATTTCTGAATCCTGTTGCATCCTTGTGCACAAGCACACTCCTTCAACTTTGTGACACATGTACACAAGGATACATCAGCGCCCAGAATTATTTAGTGCAGCAGGAGTGGCCATACTTATTCTCTATCCATGTCATAGAATATGAAGGGCTAAGACCAAGAATTGATCCATGTGTCGGATCTGGAATTCATAGATTCCAAAGCCAGAAGGGACCACTATGATCATCTAGTCTGACCTCCTATATAAACCACGGGCTGGAGAAGTTCTCCAAAATAATTCCTGTTTGTGGCTCTCATGCACTTGGATATGCCAGGGTCCAGAATGTATTGGTGTAACAGGAGTAGCTAGACTTGTTCTTTATTTAGGCTTATAATTTGGGGGATTCAGGCCAAAATTTGTCTGGAACCAGCATACACCTGTGGTGAACTTATGCTGTGCTCATCCTCCAAGCGAAATGGGAACTCAGATTTTTTTTTTTTTGGTACAGTAGCTAGGCTTGTTCCGTTTCTGATGGTACTAATGGGGGGGAGAGGGCAAAAATTGGAAAGATTGAGGTAGATCTGGTTTCTCTTTTTTCTGGTTTCTTGGTGACAGTGTTGTTTGGGCAGGGGCAGCAAGTTGGTTTCTTGGAGCAGGTGCATTTGGGCAGGGGCAGGCAGGCTGGTTGTCTGAAAACAGATTGCTTTGGTTTTGGGCCGGGGCATCAATGCAGGGCTGGTTTCTTGGGGGAGGCTGGTTTGGGCCGGGGCAGCAGTGGGAGGCTGGTTTCTTGGGGCAGGGGCAGCAGTGGGAAGCTGGTTTCTTGGGGAAGGGGCAGCAGCGGGAAGCTGGTTTTTAGGGCAGGCTGGTTGGGGCTGGGGCAGCAGTGGGAGGCTGGTTTCTTGGGGTAGAGACAGCAGTGGGAGGCTGGTTTCTTGGGGCAGGCTGGTTTGGGCAGGGGCAGCAGTGGGAGGCTGGTTTCTTGGGGCAGGGGCAGCAGTGGGAGGCTGGTTTCTTGGGGCAGGGGCAGCAGGGAGGCTGGTTTCTTGGGGCAGGCTGGTTTGGGCAGGGGCAGCAGTGGGAGGCTGGTTTCTTGGGGCAGGGGCAGCAGTGGGAGGCTGGTTTCTTGGGGCAGGCTGGTTTGGGCAGGGGCAGCAGTGGGAGGCTGGTTTCTTGGGGCAGGGGCAGCAGTGGGAGGCTGGTTTCTTGGGGCAGGGGCAGCAGTGGGAGGCTGGTTTCTTGGGGCAGGCTGGTTTCTTGGGGCAGGGGCAGCGTGGGAGGCTGGTTTCTTGGGGCAGGGGCAGCAGTGGGAGGCTGTTTTTTTGGGACTGGGACAGGGACAGGCTGGTTTGTGGTGGCCTGGGCTATCGTGCTGCCAGGCCCTTGGGGAGCCGCACATCCCGCTCTCACCCTTGCTGGGGCAATCTCCGCGGCCGCCTAGCAGGCAGTGGCTGCTCCAGCCGGGCTTGCAGGGGGCTGGGACTCCCAGTGCTGACTCCGCCCGCACCACATGACTTCTCCATCCGCAGGAGCAAACTTTTCCCGTCCCGCGGCTGGAAAATGGCGGCTTAGGAGCAGAGTCCCCGCATCCCATCCCGGTTCAGCGGCTGCCGTCGCGGCTCCCCAGCGCCTGACTGGCTGAGAGCCTCCCCCAGCGCCATGACTCGCTGGGTGCCCACCAAGAGGGAGGAGAAATACGGCGTGGGTGAGGCCCTCTCCTCCGCTCCCCCGGGGTCCCGCTTGTTGCGCTTTATTTGCGAGGCTCAAACTTTGCACAAGTTTGTTCCTTTCCTGGGAAAGCCCAGAGTCGGCGCCGCCTCCACCCCGCACAGCTCCTCTGCTGGAGCATTTCCTGCTCCCGGCCTCTCCCCGGGGGCTGCAGCCTTTTCTCCTTTTATTTCCTTGCCGGGGGCTTATTGTCCGCATTGGCGCCGGGGCGAGCTCTGCCGGTGGGATTGCCCTGCGCCGGAGCTCGTGGCTGCTTCAGCCCTTGGCACTAAACCGGCAGGAGGTGGCGGGCGGGCGCGCCTATTCCCTCGGCAAAGGCCTTGCGTAGCGGGGGTGGGAATGGGGAGCCGCCGCCGCCGCCTCTCTGAAACTCACATTGGAAACCGCATTTTCTCCTCGGGATTGGCTTGCACTGCCGTGCTGGCAAGTTGCTGGCTGGGCATTATTACCACCCTCCTTAAAAAAAAATCTGTAAAGTTCTGTCCCTCCACGGGACAAGCCTGGTTTTGATTTTGTCGTCTTTGACCTAGGATGAGCCTCTCTGTAGCCGATTCTCTGTAGCCGAGTCAATTTTTCCTTTATTTAGGCAGCCTAGTTGCAGTGGGTTTTGACTCCTGCACTGTGAGTGCAGGTGTTGTTATCGGTGTATTATGGGTTTGTTACCCCCTTTGGATTTGCTGCTTTGAATTTCTTAAATGCCTGGTTGGGAAACCTGGGAGAGGGTATATTTCAGTGGTCACGGCAAACAAGGCTGTTAGGGGTTATTGCCCTGTCACTTTTTTTTGGCTCCATTTTAGATGGGACACAATTGTTACACAGTTTATTTCAGATTTATTAAAATAGCTCTCTACTGCTCATAGCTGAATAAAATGTAAAATTCCAGAACTGATTCCAGACATTTTAGAGGGTGTTTACTTGACTCAGTTCCTCTCCCTTGGGAGACCATTCATGAATATTCAGTAAGTGAATTGTAGTGCCTACCCTGCACAAATGAACGTTTTGACAACACTGAGCGCTGGCTAACTTTGCTGTTCCACATAAAGAGAAGCAAGGTTCGGGGTTAGAGGGAGAAAAGGGCACCCTATTCTGCAGAAAACACTTTTAGATATTTCTCAATTTCTGTCTCTCTTAAATGAGAGAGGAACTACAGCTGGCTTTTAATTAAAAAGTCTCCATAATAAAGTCATTTTTATGACATTTTTTATGACATTTTTATGACAAAAAACATTTTTATGAATGTTTAGATGACCAGAAACTTCCTGAATTTCAAGGTGGACCATTTCATCAAAAACATTTGCTATGAGTAGAAGGGAGCAGACTATATCTTACCTGCATACGTAAGAGTGTTTCTCATGAGGAAGGAAATATAAAATATGGTATTCCATTTGGAAATGTTAATGTGAGAGCCATTTTTTTCAATTTGTGGATTCTCTTAGCAATATTGCTTGCAAATATGAAAATGAATTTTATTTCATCTGGTTCAGTGCCTAAACCTTTTTTTTTTTACTTGAAGAACCACTGTACATAATGGAGAAGAAAGTTCTGAGACTGGGAGGAGTATAGTGAACTTTAGGGGTTTGTTTTTGGTAGTGCATAGCGTTTAAAATTTCACGTCTTTGTGTTAGACCCTTACTAACTAGATAGTAAATGGAGCAATGTTTTATGTGTAAGACACAACTTCAATTGTAAGGAAATAAAAAAGGAAATTCAGAAATTAAGACTACTAGTGGATCATTAACTCATCCCAAATGTATCTAAATACAGTATTTCAGATCACATTTTATACAGATTCACCTCTGTATATTCTGTAACTTTTTTAGGCATGATGGGATGAATTAAAGGGGATGCTATAAAGCTACTTGTTTATATTCACGTATGGATTTTATGTAAGGTCTTTCACAAGTACAGCAATGTGTAGTTCTGTTTTTCTGTCTCTTCTCCAGTATCACCAAGGTGCAGCTGGGAAGTTTAATGGTAAAGAACAGACAGTTAATTCAATTGTTGCTAATATATAGTGAAATCCAGTTAACTGAAAGTTTAAAAGACAGATGCTTGTCTGTTTAACTGGAAAAGTCATAATGGTTGAGTATATGTAAAATCTAGTAAATATGGAGGTGTTTAGTGATCTAGTGGGCTACTTGGGAAGTGGATTAAAGTTTGAACTGCAAGCTTCATATCTTGGCTTTTGGAATACTAAGATCTAGGACCACTGCTAAGAGGCTAAAAATTGGAAGAGGAATCTGGAGAGCTTGCTTTCCAGGAGCCAAAGTGATGTCTCTTACTTTGGGGATGCGGTGGAATAGAGGGTAAAGATTAGAGGAGTAAATTTAAGTTCTTTCACTAAATCTGGGTATCCATTGTGGGGAAACTATCACATTTTAGAGATCTAGACTTCCCTGAATTAAAATTGAAATACTGCTTTTGATGTTTATAAGAGACAGAAGTATTTTGGAACTGGCTGCCGTACTAGTGTTGAATCAGTGTTTTCTCTCTTTAAAAATAGGTTCAGAGTCTGTAGCAGAATGGTGCAGTATCTATATATTTCTTAATTCTAAATATAAGTTTCTAAATTCTAAATATAAGATCTTAGAAAAACCTCATTCTTTTATTTGGTATAACAGCTTCCTGGGGCTCCCCCCCATATTAGCTGTGAGTGGTGATCACTAGCTACATTATGGAAATTCTCTAATGAATTTCAAGGGTGTAGGAGTTGAAAAGAGATGTATTGTTGCTGTGAAGGAAAATTAGATTTGATGCTAAGTGAACATAGACATTTACATTTGCTTGCACTGTACTGTTAAAATCTGGCTCTCAAAACAGATTTAGGATGAATATCCTTTTTTCTGCATCACTGAATTTCCTTCTAAGGATGATTAATATATTCAATTTGGTTACATGTGTTTTTCATGTCTTTGTATATTAAACTAGGAGACTTCTGTGTCTTGCCAGATTTAATGTTTTTGGGAAACCTAAAACTTCTGAAATGGTTTAAAAAGTGTTTGTGCATATCAATTCTGTATCAGTAAGAAATATTCTTGATTCATGGGAGTATGCTATTTAAATGAACATTTTCATAAAGAGAGGAGAGAGCTTCCCATTTAAATATGCATGTGTTTATTGAAAAATCAATGTGATGTAAATGAACATCCTATTTTTTTTACCAAAATTATGTGCAAAGAAAAGGTAGTTAAAAGGTTCGTAATAAAGTGTTCCCACTGAGATTTCTTTGATGAAAGTGTCTCGACTGACTGGCATTAAGTACATTAAAAATCTAAGATGTAAAAAGAGTCTTGAAACATCTTTCTTCTCACAGCTTCCCTTTGCTTCTTTGCCTCTTTTCCATCTCTTCTAACTCTCTCTCTCTCCCTCTCCCTCTCCCTCTCGCTCTCTTTTTCCTTTCTAAACTTAGTTGAGTGTTCTTTATTTCTACCCGTATGGTGTAGCCTCTGACATCTGGGAGATCTTGATGGAATTATTGTGGAAAATGATGGATGAAGTGTAGTTGTTCTGAGTTTTCTAATTCAGTTGCCTCTTTCCATCAAAGAAGCAAAAATTCCTTTTAACAGCCTAACTACTTGCCATGCTCTGTTTTGGAAAATGCTGTTAATAACATTGACTGTGGAACAATATGATCTGACGATTTGAGAGTAAAACAGGAACATCTATCGCTTCATCAGTGGGATTGTTAATCCAACTGCAGTTGACTCTTAGTGATGTATATTAAATTAATGTTTAACCCTCTCACCCTTATCTCATATGTGCTACCCTTAAGCAGGAGTAGCCATCAATAGTGGTAGGATTATAATGCTCCTTACATTTTGTTGTTGTTTGTTACTTCTGTTGCAGTCATAGGAGCTCAGGAAAGTATTTTCTTTCCTTTGAGCTGTATGCTTCTGTACGTGACTAGTGTTTTTAATATATCAAGTTCAAAAAATTTACTGGTATGTTGATATGTATCTCAATAATTTATTCTCTGTATCTGTACTCATGGGTAGTGGTGTCCGTATGATACTATAGTATGATATAATGTCCCAGAAATGGTGTTTCCTCACTACTAACTTAATCTTTTGATGTGGGATTTATAAACCATCCTGAATATCCCATGCATGTACAAACTAAAATTGCTCCCTCTAAATGAAAGGCGTTGTAATGCAGTTTATAAATATTATCACAGAATGCAGTTGTAAGTGTGACTCAGCTTCATTTTCTGCAGGAATACAGCACTTCATACTGGGGGAGGTCAGCCCAGGAATGGGTGTGGGGGAATGTGTTGTCTCTTAGCAGACTGAACATCATTATTGGATTAACACAGAGCATAATTTAAGCCCCTGTTATGATCAGTAATCCTACAGTTTAATGAGGTTATCTTCCCTCACTCTCACTCCACATGTAATAACTTAATTTTATATTTTGGCACTCATCTCAAAACATTTCACAAAGATTATACATATAACACTACTGAAATACAGCAAACCCTGCGGGGCCAGCAAGAGGCAGATAGGCAGGCCAGCCAGGTGGATATACAGCATTCTGCACACAGTAGTGGAAGTGGTTTACAGGGGTCCAGAGATTCCATGTCTATCTTATCCGCTGTGGTATTGTCACAAGTGATCATGAGACACACCTACACAGTCCACCACAGACTTGCCTTAAGTAGGCACTGTAATTTTTGTGCTCTTTTGTCCTGGTCTGAGCTCGCCCTCATGCATGTCAAGAAGAGGAGCTAAGTGTGGTGAGCTGTCTTAGAAGACTCAAGATAAGTCTACAAAATATAGTAAATCTGAATCTGCAGGCGTGAGTCACACAGACTCAGTGTTTCCAAGCCTGTGCTTCAGCATCCACTATGTGTTAAAACCTGAGCCTCAGAACTATGCTGGTGTGTCCCTTCTGGACTACACAGACCTGAGTCAGTACTTCATCTTCTTTGGGCATATACTGTCATATCCCAGGCTTCCTAGTGCCCTCATCTGCTGTAGT